GAGTGAGTGAGTGAGTGTGTGCGTGTGTATGTGTGGGCGTGCGTGCGTGCATGTGTTATATTGTGTGCGTCTGTGTGTGTGTGTGGGTGTGTGCGTGTGTGTGCATATAAATACACACTCAGACATTCTCTGATGTTCTGATCAATACTGGATGTCCAGCCTTTCCCTGAATTACTCTTTACATTACCTCATCAACTGCTGATTTTATAGAGATGAGGCTATATGCCAACAATTGGATCAAGGTTCCTGTAAACCCTTCATAGCAGAGCTTATGCACTCACTCAGCCGTTCTCCTCATATAGGGTGCATATATTTACTGCTCCCACGGGAACAACCGAACAACAGAGAGAGAATGAGCTCCATACCAGCAGATAACTGTGTTTAGAGCATTTAAAAGAGTGTTTGTGTGTGTGAGATATCTCAACGGTGTTCAAACGAGTCCTGTTCAAGGTTATTGAAGATCTTTTGTGAGATGGAAATGTTCTGTGGGTCTAATAGATTGTTTTCCATTTGAATCTGCTGGAACTGAAACACTCGCAGGCCATCAGTCCACAGCTTCTATGCGGAACATTTGCATATAAGATCAATGCAAGGATAGCGAAGGTGTTTGGAGATCAAACCATGGCAATAAACAAGAGTTCAAGAGCATCTAAACATGAAAAATAAACATTCGGTAGAGTTGATTTACAGTTTTTGCCTATTGCTTACACACGTTTTGCTAAATTTGGCTGATTGTGTCAAAACTCTACACACAAGCAAATAACACACAACACTGGGAAATAAAGCATTCACATCTATGTCAAATTGAAACTCTGCTATCAAAACCTAACAATCCTTTGTCAAAATGTCACTCTGATGACAAAATGATACCCACTTGCATCATATGAATACACTTTCAGATCAGCAGCAACACACTAGTCTACTTTATATAAAAAAAACTGCAGTCTTTTGTTTTCAATGTTTTTATTCAGTTCCACAGAGGGCATGTTTTCACAACAACCAAAAAATGAAATACTGATTTCAAAATCATTACATTACAGTAGTATATTTTAGAGTACAGTAAATTCAGTTAAATCAAAAATAAAACAAACAATACACTACTGTAAACACAGAAAAACACAATTGTGCGCAAGTGGGCTTATGGATCCTGCCGTCTGTTGGGGTCTGGCCACAGGATCTCATCAACATCACAAGCAATGTCTTCTCTCGCTAAGCATCGGGGAAAATATCCCCTTGTGTGTCGAATCCATCCCTGGATAGACCTCACCTCAATGTCTCCGCAGGCCTGTTCCATTGCCTGCAGAAGAGGCATACGGGCATGTGGTTGGCGGTCATATACGCGCCATCTCCAAGCGGAAAAAAATTCCTCTATAGGATTTAGAAATGGCGAGTAAGGGGGCAAGTACAGAACTTCAAAGTGATCATGGTTGGTGAACCAGTTCTGGACCAGAGCAGCCCGATGGAAACTAACATTATCCCAGACAACAACAAACCTGGGCTGCTCTGGTCCATCCTGTCCAACTGCATCATGAAGTGCATCTAGAAATGTGATGATGTGTTGCGCATTATAGGGACCCAGTTTGGCATGATGGTGCAGTAGGCCTCGAAGACTTATGGCAGCACACAATGTGATATTTCCCCCGCGCTGCCCCGGGACGTGCAAAATTGCCTTTTGGCCAGTTATATTACGTCCCCGTCGTCTGTTTTTGCTAAGGTTGAATCCAGCCTCGTCAATGTAAATACATTCATGCGGCTGGGCAGCTCCATCCATGTCCAAGATTCTCTGTAACAAAAAATACATATTGTGGATGGCTTTACTCAAAGCACACACTTACACTACTACATATACAGAACCGACCCACCCCACCACACAGGTACCTGTGTAGCTTTCTGAATGTATCTATGTGGTACTAATCCAGTGGTACATATTCATCTGTTACTGGACTGCACCCATTCTTTATTGTAAATGTAAAGGACTGAAACACTTACCTGTACATATTCATGTCGAAGTTCTTTGACCCTGACACTGTTCCTCTCAAATGGGACCCTGTACAATTGCTTCATGGTCATGTTGTGCTTTACCAAGATGCGTCTGATAGTTGTAATGCTTACTCGATTTATGTTGTTGGATACTTGCCTATCTGCAAGTATTTGTTGCTGTAGCTGGTGGAGACGGATTGCATTGTTTGCTCTGACTAGGTTCACTATGGCAAGTTCCTGCTGTTGGGTGAACAGGCGTTGGCGTCCACCCCCAGTAGGTCTTCTAGCCATTCTGTAGAAAAATGCAACCACAACTTGTTCTCGTTTGCTTCTTTTTTACAGTACTGTGTATACTGAACTTTACTGTATTTACCATACACAGTACTGAAACATCTCAACACGTTATCACGGTATGTTTCACAAAACTACCACTTTTGTTGGAAAAGGAGCATTAGCCACCCTGGAATACAATACATGTGATACAGTAACGTGATATGGTACAGTACTGTAAATACTCTAGATACAGTCTGAGTAGAGTAGAGAGTTGAAGACATACCTGTTTTCCAGTCGGAATGTCCTTATTATGGATGAAACTGTGAAACGGCTTAGATTAGGATGGACTCTCTGCCCAGCTTCCCTCATAGTCAGGCCATGGTTTATGACATGGTCCACCAAAGTTGCTCTTATGTCATCCGAAATAATGGTCCTTGCGTGGCCTCTTCGACCACGTCCTCCTCTCTCTCTCTGTCTTCCTCTTCCTCTTCCTCTTCCTCTGCCTCTAGCTCTCCTTGCTTGCAAAGTTGTCAACATGGCTTAACAGACCTTTTTGTAGCTGGCTGATTGGTGTTCAGTTTTGTAAGTAAGTGTTTTCAGGTGTGTGTCAACGTCTTTTCAATTAACCAATGTGTGTTGTATTTTGAATAGATGTGTTTTCCCAATGGTACCCTGAGATTTCATTTTTGAACTAAGTGTCTTATGTATGAAATAGTGTGTAGTGTCTAGGAGCAAGTGTGTTGCAGAATTGCAACTGAAGTGCAAAGCAGCGCTTTTGTTTAAGGTATGGTTACACTGTGTTTAAGGTATAGTAACAAAAGCTTCAAGTTTTGTTACTTTGGTCTAAGCATGTGTCTATAGTGTTCAAGCAACGGGCAAAAACTGTAACCATTACTGCTCGTTTCCTATAGACCAGTAAATCTCACTCAGACTTCATCACTACAATATTATAAAGAGAAGCAGTGAGTAAACTCACAGTCAGTGAATCCATAAATACCGATGAGGACCAGCATCTTACCTGTGAATGGAGATCATTTCATTTCACAATAAGTTCTACGCTGCAATGTGTGAACCACCTCAGCAAGTCTTCAGTTTAGTGTGTGTTTGAGCTCCAGACACAAACGATTCCTCAAATCATGTGTGTTGTTGAGTAGAGCTGTGTGGCTAATTTCATTTAGTTTTGGACCATTAAGCAATGCCCTAGCAACCACACAGAGCACCCTAGCAACTCCATTGAAATTGGCTAAAAATCACTCAGAAAACCTTAGCAACTATGAAGCAATTCCCCGGCAACCGTGAGAACTGTAGAACACGTAGAACTGTAGTTATCTCATTGCTATTGGTACATTCGTGCAGGTTAACACAGATAATCATAATAACATTGCATGTGTGATATGGTTCATGCATTAAACACATTCAGGATGATTGGAATTTGGTCCTGGTATATGACCTACTTCATCATGTTTATTTATTCTTGTCAGGTGTAAAATGATAGCGTTTCTCAATGAGAAGCTTCTAGGATTATGATCACTAAATGTAATGCATTAAAAACAATCAGTGATTTTATGTCCGGCGTCACACTGGTACAGGACATCATCAAGAAAAGATCAACAAGAAAGAGACACACACACACACACACACACACACACACACACACACGCACGCACACACACACGCATGCACGCATGCTCACGCCTCAGTATATTCCCTGTTTTAGTGCTTTGCTTATTCATCCTATTATTTCGACAGGATTTGAAAAGGATATTTTACATTTTAAAATGTAAATGGGTGAAACTGGTCTTTCAGTAACAAATTACCTTTCCTTGGATTCACTTCATAATGAAAAGCTATTTATAAGGAAATATTAATCACTGCCAGGTGAGAAGGAGCAAAAGCCATTATTTTTAACTACGGTGAGGCTCTTTCAGAGACGCTCAGTGGGAGTTTAATGAGATGAGTGGCGTGAGGATCGGAGAGAAGCGCAAGGTGTTCCTTTTCTCACTTCCTCCAGCCCTGCTCGACTTTCACAATAGACCTGACGGCGGAGAGAACAGAAAGGGCTTCTAGCTCAACACGGGAGAGAGAGAGACAGAGAGAGAGAGAGAGAGAGAGAGAGAGAG